CCGATGCCCCCACCCCACCCCGGGGCACCCACTCAAGGCTGGACCCCTGCCGGGGTTGGGGGGTCTCCCTGCCCCTGGCACTGCCATCCCTGGCGGTGTCACCTGCTCCCAGGGTGGGGACACCTGCCATGACTGGGCAGATTTTGGAGGGCAGGGGGGTCCTCTCTCTGCCACAGCCCCACAGTGGGGGGGACACGTGTGTGACAAGGGGCTCCTGAACCCTGGGGAGGTGGGGGGGACATGGGGTGGGGGTCCTGGCAGGGTTCAGGCAGGTCCTGGGCAGGGTGGTGACACCGGTGACCCTTCCTGCCCACAGGTGGGGGAAACTGAGGCACGGAGGGGCCACCGAGGTGGCCAAACTCTGCTCCGGGAGGCACCAGGGTGGGGGGTGTTTTTGGGGGGGCTGAGGGGTGTCACCTGCCCGTGACAGCCCCCACTGACCCCCCACAGGCAGCTCACCATGGCCAACTCCAGCCACATCCAGTCGGCCGCCTCCAAGAGCATCCGCCCGTTCCGCTCCAGCGAGGAGTACCTGGAGGCCATGAAGGAGGACCTGGCCGAGTGGTTCAACACCCTCTACGACCTGGACATCCAGGTGGACACCTTCCTGGAGAGCCTGGAGACGGGCTGTCACCTCTGCCGCCACGCCAACAACGTCAACCGCACCGCCCTGGACTTCCAGGAGCGGCACCCCGAGGCGGCCGCCCGCATGCGGGTGCCCCAGAACGAGGTGGTCTTCCAGGCCAAGAACGTGGTGCCCGGCTCCTTCATCGCCAGGGATAACGTCTCCAACTTCATCCAGTGGTGCCGGCAGGACCTGGGCATCCAGGACGTCCTCATGTTCGAGACCAACGACTTGGTGCTGAAGAAGAACGAGAAGAACTTTGTCCTCTGCCTGCTGGAGGTGGCCAGGAGGGGCTCCAAGTTCGGGATGCTGGCGCCCATGCTGATCCAGATGGAGGAGGAGATCGAGGAGGAGATGAGGGACCAAATGGGCGACGGCGCGCTGGGCACGCGCCGGGAGAGCCGGGACCTCCAGGCGGGCGCCTTCCCCGGCCGGGCCCGGCCCATCACCCTCTGCGACCTCAAGAACCTGGACGAGCTGGTGAGACACGCGCTCCCCTGGGAGCCCTGTGCCTGGGTGAGGGCCTCGCCGGCCACCCAGCTCCGGGCACCGCCGGGGCCCCTCTGCCCACCCAACGGGCGCTCTGTGCTCCGTGGGAGCTCCCGTCTGTCTCTGTGGTCCGTGGGAGGTCCTGTCTGCCCACCCAGCGGGTGCTCTGTGGTCCGTGGGAGGTCCCACCAGTCTCTATGGTCCTCTGTCTCTGTGGTCCGTGGGAGGTCCTGTCTGCCCACCCAACGGGGTGCTCTGTGGTCCACCCTTCTCTGTGGCCCTCAGGAGGTCCTCTCTGTGGTCCATGGGATGTCCCATCCATCCCTGTGGTCCATGAGAGGTCCCACATGTCTCCGTGGCCCCCAGGAGTTCCTCTCGTGTCTCTGTGTTCCATGGGAGGTCCTGTCTGCCCACCCAGTGGGTGCTCTGTGGTCTCTGGGAGGTCTTCTCTGCCCACCCAGCGGGGTGCTCTGTGGTCAATGGGAAGTCCCCCCCATCTCTATGGCCCCCAGAAGGTCCTCTGTCTGTCTCTGTGGTCCGTGAGAAGTCCTCTCTGTCCACCCAGCAGGGTTCTCTGTGGCCCATGGGAGGTCTCATCTGTCTCTGTGATCCATGAGATAGATGATCCATGTTTCTATGACCCCCAGGAGGTCCTCTCTGTCCACCCAACAGGGTTCTCTGTGGCCCATGGGAGGTCCCACCCATCTCTATGATCTCTGGGAGGTCCCTCCCATCTCTGTGGTCCGTGGGAGGTCCTTCCTGTCCACCCAACAGAGTGCTCTGTGGTCCTCAGGGTGTCCTCCACCCACCCATCCCAGCTCTCCGTGGCCATGGGAGCCCCTCTCCACCCACCCAGGCTCCCATGGAGCCCCCTGACTCCAGGAGGGGTTAGTTTGGTGACCATTGCCAAAATCCCAGTGGGGACACTGGTGCCACCTGTGCCTCTGCCACCTCCTCCTCCCACGGTGGGGGGGGCCCAGCACCTGCTCCTCCTCCCCTGCCTTGGGGCCGGTGTCCCCGCGGATGGAAATGGGGACATGGGGGGACAATTTGGGGTGTCACAGAGGGGGGTGCAGGGACCACCCCCCTCCAGGGGCCGGGAGCTCAGGAGGGATTAGAGCTGGGCTGGGTGCAGGATCCGGGACAGCAGATTAATTAATCCGGGGCTGGGGGGGACACAGGGGGGCTCTGCCCTGCCCTGACTCCCTAAGCCCAAAGCCGTTTTTTAATTGAAACCCCGATTCCTCATTAAGTCCCTCATTAAAGAGCATCCTGCACCCCCTCCCTCCTCCCAGTACCGCTGCCGAGGGGGG